GGACTCTATGGACATACATCCAGTTACTTGAATGAGTTCATTTTTTTACATTTAAATTCATGATCCACATAATTTATTCTGGCTGATCCATATAATTTATTCTAGTGTATAAAGGGTCTTCAAAACGATTCTGGGGAGAGGCAGCATGTGATGTGGTAGTTAAGGTGTTGGGATTTGCACATGGCTGACTGCAGTTCAAGTCCAGGACTGGTAGCTTGAAAATCATGCTGGGTACATGAGCATGTATGCCCCAAATCCTGAGAGACTGGAGGAGAAGAGACTGTAGCATGGCCATCCCCCCAGAGGTGGTTTTTCACTCCCCCCCACCCCTCCAGAGAGTTCACACCCTGTATGGGGGAAAAAAAAGAGAAAACCTTCTGGGAAGTCCATGGTATGTACATAAGTGTGTGTGTGTGTGTGTGTGTGTGTGTGTGTGTGTGTGTATACATTCTATATTATAAAAAAGCATATATTTAGTTTTTTTTGCACCAAAATAAACTCATATTTTAATTCCAATTTTTTTTTTTACAAACTTTCTGAGGTCCCCTGAATATTCTGAGTTTATTCTGATATAAGGTGCATTTAATGTTATCTTTTAAAAATGACTATGGAAGTCTCTTGACAAGTGATGTTATTTTAATGTAGACTTAGAAGACTTTATACAATGAGGAAATTTTTAATCAGAGCAGCTCATCAGTTTGACTTTTTTTTTTTTTTTACTAAGTATGTATTTATAAAGTATAACGATAAGAGAAAAAGTTTAAATGTTAACCAAAAAATAGGAAACTTGGGGCTAAAAAAAATCAACCAAGACTTTTTCTTGAAGGACTTTCGGAGTCTAAAACACTATGAATTTCCCAAGGGGAGAGCAGAGTATCTAGCACTGCTCAAATATATGCTTCACAAACTGATGCATCTCTTACGCTCGAGATTCCACAGAAACACACCTTAAGAAATGCTGTTTTGATTATACCATTTCCCCATCCTGATGGCAATTTTGTTTGTTTTCTTTTTATTTTTTACTTTAATATATACTTAATAATCGCATTTTTTAGGAACATTCATTTTCGGTAACTTGTTAATAAGCATAAATATGTAGTCTAGCACCTCTCTCTTATGTGTTCACATTTTCGTATGTGATACTTAACTTTAACCCATTCTATTGACTCCTGATCAACTTCTTTAAACCTTCATGCCTTCTTCTACGTTAACGGTGAACTTTCAAACAATGGGGAGTGCTACTGTAGTTCAGGCTTACAACATACCAGTACTAGTTGTATTTTGAACCAAGTATTTGGCCTGCTTCTCACCCCAGCTACTTCTGCTCCAGAGTCTGTTTCTGCTCACTGTCCGTATTGCCTTGTCCTTTGAAGCTGGTACTATGGTGGGTTTCCTCAGTTCTGATTGTAATCCATTTGTCCTGAGGACTGACTCTCCCCATTATGAAGTGCCTCCAGCTCCACTGATGGATAAACATCTTTTGTCAGGCCTATTCTCTGGGCATGTGCAGAAGCTTCCTCATCTTCCTCCTGCTAGACGATTCAGGTAGGTCCCCCACTGCTACCTCTCCTCTTGAAACTGGAGAAACAGGGCTCCTGGGCACAGCTGTGTATGTTAAGCACTGATACTAGAAGAGATGTCTACTGGAGAGTTAAGATTCTTAAATTCAAGATTATTGAATTCTTAAATATCACATGTGAAAAATACAGCACAGATGATAGGGCCAGCAGATGACATAGCGGTTATGTCACTGGACTCCCACATGGTCAACAGCAGTTCAAGTCCTGAACCTGGTAGGTTGAAACTCATGCTGGGAGTGTATGTATGCATGTCCAGGATCCAGGGAGGAGAATGGAGAAGGGATTATGGTGTGGCCATTCCCCTGGAGGGTGATTTCTCCCTTTCCCTCTCAATGTCTCTTGTCTCTCTCCGGTGCATACCCTAAGGCAAAATATTCTAAATAATAATAATAATAACACTATAGTGCAGATGAAGGATAAGTACTATCTTGTGAATTTTCACAATGGCTAGACTGATCCAACAATAAAATCCTGGCCAGAAAGGAATACTAAC